CCCAGGTCTCCTGACCCCGACACCCTGGTGCCTCTATAACACTCTTGCCCGAGGGTCCACCCAACTTCTGCTCCTTCAGATCAGAAAGCCCTTCCTCACGAAGCTGTCCCTAAATCTTGCTTCTGGAATGCACCACAGAGCACTTGCTTCGCAAATATTAAGTCCTTAGTGGGCATCAGGTGCTGTGCTTAAGATGGGGCTAGACAGGTGAAGAGAAGACGAGTCGGCCATCAGAGAGCTTGGCTAGAACACAATGCACTGGGTCGCCGTCTTCAATAAGGGATACGGAGAGTTCTGTGTGACACAAAGACAGAGCCTGGTAGTTTAACTAACTCTCTATTTTGCCACCACTCAGGCTGTAACGTACTTCCCAAAGGCTCCTTTCTCTCCTCCAGCTGGTGTATGATAAACACCAGACAGGCGGGAGCTCTCAGGGGCCAGATTGTGCCGTCCCGGGCAGGGAAAGTCAGGGATTTTGGCAGATGGAGCCTCCACAGAACTAAGAGCCCCAAAGGGAGCTTGCCCACACGCTGCGCCAGGCAAACTGACTGTCGGGGAGCTTCTGGTGCTCAGGGTTAGCATGGTCCGGAGTGCAATGCATGCAGATACCTGCGACCTGCAGACAAGGAAGGACCAATGACTCCTCCAAAGTAGGCATGGAGGGAAGGAAGAGGGGACCACAACCAGGTGGGAAAGCCATGGGATGTGAAATTAAGTGTTGGCTTCAAGGACCGTCCACAAAATATGCAAAGGGAACTCCATAACAGGAGGGAAAGCTTGAGGAGTGCGGCTGGGAACGCTGCTCAGAGCGCACTGAAGGCGGGAAGTGGGGTCAGTGGTGCTGCAGAATTCACAGCTACAAGGACCTAGAAGAGATTTCCGGGGCAAGCGACCGTGACGTGGAGCGGTGGAGCGGGCTGAGTTGGGCAGCGGGCAGGTGGTGAGACTACACCGTTAAGAGCTACTCTCCCGTCCAGACCTGCATCTGCCTCGCCCTCTGCACCTCCCCACAGTGGACGGTTTTTTGCAGGTGCTTTGGCTTGCATTTTGCAAACCAGAAGTTTGCTTGGTTGTAACTTTCCTTCTTTTCTGTCCCTCTGCATTGTCTGCTTCTCCCTCCCAGCTGGTATTACTCCTTTGTCATCAATTTAAAAAACCATTAAATTATTATTTAACATTCCCTGTGCATGGACAACGAATCCGTGGTGCAGAACAGAGACACAGATCACACTCCAGCTGCCCCCTCATCCTCCCGTCCCAGAAAATTTCCCCGGTAGCCGAGCGTGGTTGAGTTGTTGTCCTTTTCCGTTCGTGGATGGCAAGGATGATTTTTCAGGATCTTCACTGTCAGGTGGAACCAGAAAACAAAATCTCCAGAGATTCTCTCTCCCTAGAGGGATGTTATGTGACCTCATTAGTCACTTCTCATCTATTGCTTTTGTCACGAAGAATGTATATCCTGCCACGGTCCCTGTGCTCTCAGGTAGGATGGTGGCTTGTTTGCCTGTAGACCCCGCTAGACCTCAAGCCGCATGAGGCCAGGGGCTAGGAAGCTATGCCTCCCTTGGTGTTCTCGTCATCGGTGACGTCCATAAAGCAGGTGCCCAGCGTGGGAGCAATGGCACCGTGGTGGCCGTGTCATCCATCACCTGCACATTCATACCTGGCCTTCGGCTAAAGTGAATCTCTTCTAGAAGAGGCTGAGTGGCCTTTGCCAACATTGTCTGCAGTTTTCAACTTCATCCTGGCTCTTCTTTTTATCCCATTTGATACCAAAGGGAATGTCCACTTCCAAGATGATCCTGTCCTGGGAAGTACTTTGCTGTCCTGGGAGCCCAGTTCGGAAAGTCCTCATGCTGTTGTGAATTCCCCCCAATCCCAGCAAGGCTGCCCTATTCCCCCATCTGTGACACGCCTTCCGAAGACAGGTTCCCCTGCTTACCATGGCCCTTGCCCTTGACATGGCTCTTGGGGTTTTCCTCAGGTCCTGAGTTATCTTTCTACAAACTGTGGAGTTGGGTCTCTGCTCCGCAGTCTACTAGTCACTGTGATTGAGTCCATTCTTAACAAGAGCCTCAGTTTCCCTCACCATAAAGTGAAGAATTTTGACAAAAATAATATTTTCTTTTCCAGGGTTGTTGTGAGAATCAGTTTCATCTGCACACAATATTGATCTGGGAGGGACAGATACGGATCCAGACACTCTGAAATGTTACTGTGTGATAAATGGGAGGTGATGGTGAGACTTGTTTTGTTCACTGTATCTGAAAGCATCCACGATGGCCTGTGTGCCTTTAGAGGAACAACTTCCCCCTTGAGATTCCCTGGGGCCACCCTCATCACTCATTGAGCAGGATGAGTATTCGTAGGACCAGAATCTTCTGCCTTCAAATGCAATACTATCTTCAGACAGAGTTCAACCTTTCCCAGGGACAAGACAAACAAGCCACCACATACCATGGAGGGATGCCTCTGCTTGTTGACAGGGACAGATCAGAAAAGGGAGGACCAGAAGTGTAGTGGGGACACATTGGTCCAGCAGGCAGCCCTGGGTCCCTCCCCGTGTGGCTACTTCCTATTGGTGTCACTTGTGGTGATGGCTCCCCAAGACCCCATTTCTTCACTGTAATATGGAGACGATAATCCCTGCAGGTCTGTGGGCTCCCCAAGACCCCATTTCCTCACTGTAATACGGAGATGATTATCTTGGCAGGTCTCTGAGCATTCAAATTAACCAGCGTAGGGCAGTAAGCAAAGTGCCTGGCTCATAAGAGGGTCTCAGTTCATAATAGTGATTTTTTACACCTACAATGAGACATCTGCTTCTAGACTGTCTATACAACACCTCCAGTTCAAATTTGGTGGTTGATTTTTTTAACCAAGTGACCCCGTGATCAACCCTCCTTCCCCAAACACACACACACACACACACACACACACACACGCACACACACACAGCAAAAACTGAATTCCTTCATGGAACAAGCATTTAATAGGCCCCTACTGTATATCACACCATAGTAGGAGTTGGTGATACATACATGAAAATCTCCCATTAATAATGTTAATTTCCTAAATTCCTAGAGAAAATGGGAGTCCAATTGTCAGAACCTCTCCAAATTTATTCCCCTTTACATGTTGGGCCTTTCCTAAAAGTTGCAACAAGTGGAGATCCCGAGGAATGGAAACAGACTATGGCCCGCTGGGTCCTTCGAGTGTGGTGCGGAACACGATTATGCACATTGTGTGGATTTTCTAAGTCAGTGACAAAAATAAATTAGTAGAATAAATAAAGACATGTATCAAAAAAGACCCAGATAATTGCCCAGGGGAACAAGTGAATGACTTTTGAGTTTCCCACGTGGAGAATTTTACCGTATTTTCCTTCCTGTTAACCAGAGCCCTGCATAGCCACTCATTAGCATCCCAAATAGTGTGAACCGTGATGCAGGCAGGAAAGTGGTCAGGCCCCGTCTGAGTCATGGGTTCTGGAAAGAGAACATTTGGCCGGCGCGGGGGGGTGGTGGGGGGAGTGCTTTGGTGTTTGGGAGTTGGAGGAGGTGAGTGGGCATTCCTGATAGGACCATCATCCCCATCACTGCGAGGACTCATTCACAGCTTCACATCCTACCAAACACTCTCCTTTGCAATTGACTTGAACCTCCCCATTTATCCTTAGAAAGATGCTGTGAGGTATTTTTACCCTTGTTTTCAAATGAGGAAACGGATGCCCCAGGCAGTCGCGTGCCCGGATGATAGCACATCTGGGACCTGTTTCTGACCGCGGTGGCCCCACTCCTAATCCTGCTGCTCTGCCTCCCACCCAGTGTCGGCCCCATCCTGAAAATGCACACCCGAGCAATTTAAGAAAGGGAACAGGTTGCACAAACCAAGTGATGAGCAGTGACTGAGATTTCTAAGTGGCTGACACTTTGATCTTGGACTTCCAGCCTCCAAAACCATGAGAGAATAAATTTCTGTTGGTTATGGCCCCCGGTCTGTGGCAATTTGTATGACAGCCTTCTATCACTCTCCCCAGAGCTTTAGAATGAAGACTGAGTTCCCAAGCTCTGCACACTGTGCCCTCGAGGTTGGACAGTTGAGTAACTGGCCCCCAGGTATACCAGTTGGACCAAACTCCTGCACTTAATGGACTGGCCATTCCCTTGGCCACTCCTCTCCTGCATTTGCTTAGCTGACGCCTACTCATTCGCAAGACCCAGGTGACATACGGGATCCTCCAGCAGCCTCCTGTGACCTGCCCCTTGGCTGACTGCTGTACAAATGCCCACCACAGCACCTCCCACACCTCATTCTCATCGCTATTCGGCCGATCTGCCTCCCCTCCAGACCTGGATCTCCTAGTGACTAGGACGAGCGTCTTTGTGACCAGCAACGAATCACTGGTTAACAAAACACACCTCCTCTGATCTGCACCTTAAGATTCTAAGGATGTTTTTTAAAATGTAACCACAGTACCAGGAACAGGTGCCTATTCCTAGCCTACTGCTTCATGTTAATGAATGAGGTATATATTCTCCCATGAAGTTTAAATGAAGAGAATGAAAATCAAGGTGAGTTATCAGAGTTACTATGAAAACAAACAGCATCTGTGTTTATTCTTTTTTTCCCCAGTAGTAAAAAGGATGCTCGTTGATTGTTATGATGCTGCCCATCAATTATGGCAGGATTTAAGCACTTGTCTAGGGCAGGGAGGAAGCCAGTGTGGAGATGCTCTCCGACGCGTGTTACTGGGCTGGCACCATGAGGAGGGGAGGACGGTGCGTGGCCACTTACCCAGCCGCTCAGATCCGTTTGGCACCAAGAGTTGAGAACACTCCCAACAGAGAACACCTCAGAACAGAAAAGCGCTTCTCCCAGTGGTGGGATCCCTCTCCCGCCCGCACTTCCTCCCCCTCCTGCTCCAATCATCTTATTTTCAATCTCCAGGCCAGGTGTCAACGAAGAACGTACAAAAGATTGAGCCAGACAGGATTTACAAAAGTAACCTGTATTCCAGCCAAAATCTCTTTTAAAAAGAAATCCCTTCTAAAGGGGGGACAAACTACGTAAGACACAATACATTTAAAATATGTATTGAAATTACAAATCAAACTTTTCCATGTGATTCCAAAGTACAAAACACAACATTAAAAGGCATTCAAACAGCTCTTTTATACATCACAGTGTTAGTGGCACAAAGTGGACTGACATTTCAAAAAACACAAACCAAACTTTTGTTTTTACCACCACTTGTCAAATATGTATTGTATACATGTGCGTGACCCATTCATGCATATGTTTATACAAGATTAAAATACTCCCATGGTAAAGTGAGCAAAGAATCAAGGGAAGGTCAGGCGTGTGGCAGGTACCTACCCCTCACCGAAGGCTCCCAGAAGTGTGGAAGACAGGATTATACAAACCAAAGGAAGAACGGAGCCCGTGGGCTCTACGTACCCAAACAGCATGCTCTCTTAGTACTGACGCATTAGCAACTATTATTTGAGTGCAGGCCCTTCGTTCCATTTGGCATTTTTGGCAACACCAGTCATAATCTCTTCATTTCGTGTATTTTCATAAGGGCTTAGGTTAATTAGAAGGAATAAACAAGCTTTGGTATTTTTTTAAAGAGACCTTCATGAAGCTTTATACATGCAAAATGTTTTCCCTTGATGATTTCACTGATTTATCTATACTTATATACAGGGGTATTTACTAATAAACGAGAATCTGAGAAACATACAAAAAGCCTACCCTGGTTCTTTCCAACCCCCTAATTTTTAAAGACTACCAAGGGAAAATGTCCTCTTCCAATCTGTTAAATAACTTTTAACTCTGCAATATAGATGAAAAAGATAGACTCATCTTGGAGTAAGTTTTGCGTAGCTGAGAATCCCTTTCTCTGTGGGCCCTGCATTCTAATCAGGAATCGGCCTGGTTCCTAAACCGGTTTTATGGAATAATATGCTGTAAAGAGAATTTGTTCCCCTTTAAAAGGGTGCCACATGATGGTGCCCCAGTCTCCGGCTGCCCCTGGGGGTGCAGAAGAACCGATCTGGCCAGTGGCTCATGCAGCTGAAGGATCTGATTATGCTCAGATCCTGAGTCAATCTCTGCTATGTGAACGTCTGCTGCATCTCCTCCTCTGGGGGCACTGGCCTCCAGTGACCACTACAAAGCTCAAGGGCCGGGCTGCACGGTGCACGACAGAGCCAGACCGAGTGACCAGGCACGTCCAATAAAACTGCACGACAGGGTCAGAGGGACACAGATGACCTAAGGTCATGACCGAAGGTTAGCCATGAAAGGGTCTTCTTCCCACCCCTCCAGGATTTCAAGGCCTCCAAAGGAATAAACATCCATGTGCTTCCAGAACATCAGCATGAAAACCATCCGTGCAAGCGAATGTAATTTTCAGTTAAGACAAGCTCTGCAACAGTCCCCCTACTAAGAGTAGAAGCCCCCAGATTTCCCCCAGGAGCGATGGCGAGGTTAAAATCCAAGACATGGGCCATCTTCCCACGTTCTGTTTACATCTTACAACATGCGTGCTTAATACTGCATCCCCATGAACAATGGGAATGGCATTCCCTACTGAAATCGGAGGAGTCAGCGGGGGAAATGCAAGTTTAGGTAAGACCTCAATGCAGTCCTGCTGGTATCTTCCTAAGGAACTGACAGGTTTAGTTGTGTTACTATGAAATCAAACCAAGCAAACAGAGGCATGCTTGGTGCAAAGACTCAGAGCAAGCAGGTGCGACTTTGGCTGCGGCCGGCCCCAGAATCTCCGTGGTCCCTACCTGGGTCGAAACACGCGCTTGTGAAACGTGTCAAAGGTGAAAGGCACAAGGATAGTTGAGGCTATGGATGTGCACGATTTGCTCATGGATTTCTCCAGGCTAGACGGACAGCCCAATCCGCTAAGAATAAAGACATCTGAGCGCGAGCCCAGAGAATGCATCCGTTCCAAAGGCTCTGGTTTCACCCCAAGGGAAAGGGGTACTACTACTGGGCGGACTTGTACGACACGCAATGGGAAGCAGCTCGCACAGGAAAGGTAGGCCGGGATGGGGCGAGGCCTGCCCCGTGGACACTGGAAACAGGCCCACGAGCCTGCTGCTGTCTTTAATAGGCATTTAAAGGGTCTGGCTAGACAAGTACATCCATGGATCCCAGTCTGGGCTCAAGCCTAGGACTCCTGGAGTGTCACCCTCTCCAGAAAGCCATCTACCACCAGACCCTGTTGCAACAATTCGAGGTATAGAGACTCACGTGCCCAGGCTCCACTGAATAGACAGACGATCTTAGGCGTGTTCTTGTTTCGTTACTTAATTAAAAATTCAACCGTGGTCGTAAGGAGAATGTTCTGAATGTGATTTTGACACAGACTAGTTTCCTAATGGCTTCAGTTTCATAAAGATAATAAATACTACATGTGGAGAGTGAAGTAATACGGTTTCTAACCTATCAAACGTTAAGAAATAAGGAAGACATTTCCATACAGGGAAGCAAATCAGGCCCCAAGGCCAACACACAAACATAGAAGTTAAACATACAAAAAAACCCACCACGTTTTACAAATGTGCTTGCAACAAGCAAACAAGTCTGATTTTGTTTCCATTTCACTCCTTTGTGGAATGTGTAGTAAGTTTTAAAAAGCTTCGCTGTAATAAATCTACAACATTTGCCCATTTTTGAAGTCCCAAGCTCAATGCAATCAGTTTGCTCCTTAAAAGCACAGGTGGTTTTAAAAGTCCTATTCAAGCCAACTCTCTGTAAAGAATAGCCTCTCTCCACTTTTTTAAAAGTCAACCGATGGAACGTGTGTCTTATCGACCCACGCATTCTGCTGCTACCGTAACAGTCAGCCCCAGCCTGGGAGAGGCTGAATGGTAAGATCCCCTAATCGAAATAACTAAGTGAAATGGAAGGCTTTTTTTTCAGTGGGGCAAAATGGTTAGCAACAGGACACGGAACTGCGTAAAACACAGATTTCTCCAAAATAACTTAAGTCATTTAAAAAACTGAAAATTGGGAAGCTTCTCCCCCAGCCCCCGGGAGTCCTCCAGTCTTTCCAGGAAGCCCTGCTGGTGAGGACTAATAGCACTGTTCTCTTCTCCAAGTCTACACAAGGAGGCTGAGGCGAGCGGCCAAACCATAGTGACTCCCAGCAGAATGATTCCCAAGGAAAGCATTTGGTTTCCAAAGACATTAAAAAATATTTGCTCATACCTGGATGAGAAGAGAGAAGTCCCAAAAGAGAGAAAAACAAAAAACAAAAGGAAAACCTAATGATGAAGATACTCCTTTAAAGACATTGGCATTTTCAAAGAAATGAAACAACCGAGGAACCCACGTTTATAACAGTACACCGCTTATAGTGTTTAAGACGTCGTTACAAGTTTCAAGAAAAACACAAAGAGCGCGTAAGGCTTTCTAAATCTCCTGAAAAGTGGCCGAGCCAGAAAAGTCATTTAGCGATCTCCTCCTAAAATGCACATTTCAAGAAAGGCATAGGATGGTGTAGATGCACCGTGTTGATTTTTCACTACTCAGTTGGGAAGAAAAAAAAAAAAAACTAAAAAGGATTTTACTAAACGCCATTAGTAATAAAAACAGTTGTCATACACAGAGTGCTTTTCTCAAGTCAGCATTACTGGATTCTGTCTGAGGTGAGTTGCAATCCCCAAAAGACTTCTTCTCTCAGCAACGTGGCACTGTCTTGACACCGAGGAGGAGACGCACAACATTTTGCACGAGAGGGTCTCTTAAGCAACCACCAGACGCTCCTAGTCCATCCCCACTGGGAGAAAACCGCCCGGCGTGCTCCGTGCAGCGCCGCCCTTGTCGAGTCGGCAGAGACGGGCTGCGGTGCCACGCCCTACCCACGCCAGCCTGCCTGCCCCACGCCCAGGTGACTGCACCTGGGGCCTCGTCCAACGTTCTGACATCAGTCCCTGAAATCACGGCATCCGGCGTGACACTGTGAAGCTCAATGGGGCACATAAGGCAAGAAAGATGTTTAGTGAGAGGGGACGGCAGGGTGGGGTGGGGGAGAGCCGCACTTCCCAGAGGCAGGGGTCTTGTTCCAGCATCATGCCTTCCCCTAGGTGGGTAATGGGTCGTCGTCACCTTTACTGCACTTGCACTTGCAGCAAAGTACAAATGGAGTGGCCAAGAGCAGGAACGGCGAGGCCACCAATAGCAGGAGCCCAAATCCAGCAAAAATGCCCACGACCTGCAAGAAGGAAACACAGAAGCAGAGGGTAAGGTGGCTAGTCTGCAGGTTCCATAGTTGAAGTATAAAGCACACAACTACCCACCCACCCATCCTCTACCCATCCATCATCCATATACGCGTCCACCTAGCCACCTATCTACCCAGCTATCCATTCATCCATCAACCATCCATCCATGCACCCATCGTTCACCCATCCCTCATCCACTATGCATCTACCCATGCATCCATTCATCCATCCACCCAGCTATCTATCCACTCAACCATCCATCC